GGTGCGGAGCGCACCGCACCGCCGTCGGGGCCGCCGCCTCGTGAAACTGCGGGGAGCGGGGGGGGATCCGCATGCAGATCCTGTCCCTGGCTTCCCTGCGCTTGCGAGAGAGGCTCTCCAGGCTCAGGAGTTTGTTTTCATGCCGACAAGTAGCATGATCAGATGGCACTCAGCTGCAATACTGTTTTGCTGTACTGGTGATAGTCCCTTACTGGTAAATTAAAGGTATTTATTAATTCTACAACATGTTTTTTGTCTTTGTTTGGGGGGGAGTGGTTTTGTTTTGTTTTGTTTTTTGAAGTCTCCATCAGCATACACTCCAAATCTGGAAGTTTAATTTTAGATTTAAAGAATGCATAACTCCTGAAAGAGTGGTTTCAATATGAAAGACAAAAAAGTTGGGGGGGGAAAAAAAAAGCCCATTTAACTGTTGTCTTGCAACTTTTATTTTGCCTGACCTCTTCAAAGTCCACAAAAACTGAGCATTACAGTTGTTTACAATTGTGTTTACAGTTGGAGGTACAGTAGATTATAAAAGAAAAGCTTATGCATGTACAGGAAATTATATGGTTTACTGCTGTGCCAGGCCTAATACACAACAACTAAGTATTACGAAATTATGCTTTACTGTGCCTTCTTTGTAATGAGAATAGACATGGGCAAATCAGTCTATGTTGTGGCAATATTTTACCAACAATGGAATAATACTGCCCTCAGTTTAACCCTTCAACCGCTAAACTTCAAACACTGGCTCGTGTAAGAGTGGAAAACCACTGGAACTGCAAAGAGTCTTTCTGTAAAAAATGAGCTATCAAGAAATTAGAGATGGACAGTCTAGATTAAGATGCTAAATGGTTATTATTCTTTCGAACTTTTATTTATATTTAAGCATCAGTGCTTTACATTGTTACTTTTGGCAAAGCAATAAGCAGAGGATAGAGAATACATTTTACCAAAAATAATAAATTAATAGTGCTATTTCTTACTATTGGCTTTTTAGTTTGACCATGGATAGTTCAAGGATAAGGCCTTCGTCTTTCATCATTCCTATACTACTGAATCTAGTGCTGCTTATTAGCAGTTGAAACTTTACAACCACCTCTATTGCCCGTCTGAATTATGTTTATTTCTCCCCCTATACCGACCCCAAGTCAGAAGGTGTAAGGATAAAGTGATAGTTACCAAAAATTAAACTCAATGTAGTCTTTGCAAAGAATGTTGAAATGGCTATCAGGAAAGATCTTCAGCTGTACTAATACAAAGAAAACAAATTGAAAAGGAGGGCCACCTCGTAGAGAATACGTGGGGAAGATTAATAACCCAGGGATAGCTCTTGAACTAAATTAGCACTTTGATTCAAGTTTTAGTAAGGATAATGTTAACTGTGGAAGTTAAAGAAAGATAATGGGAATGAAGGTCTGAGAACAGGACTTACTATAGCAAAGATACTAAAACAACACTCCAGGTGGAAGGTAATACTGAATAATTGCCATTCCAAAATTCTAAGAAGAGAGACAAACTATTGAAGACGCAATAACAGATACTTAATAAAGGTGTCACAATCATGGTGTTGCAATATGATAAAAGAAAGCAGGAGTTGTTGTTTTGTTTAAGAAGGGAGGAGGACAAAAAGGTAATTTAGGCATACGCACATCTGCAAGTGTGATCTTGATTGGACACAAGGCTTTAGAGTAGAGTTTGGAAAGAAGACAACTAAAGAAATAAGGAGAAATGTGATTAGTTCAATCAGCTGGGAAAAGAACTCTTTATTATGACCTTGTTGAAGAAGAAAACACATTGGGTAACTGCACCCTTGGGTGAAAGACTGGTATAGTAATCTCAGGCTGATGACAGACAGGCTCAGATGTATCTGTGCAATGTAATGCAGCTACAAAAAAAAATGTAATCCTAGTATATGTTAAGAAAGACTATTTCCTACAATGATGGGGCTTATCATTGACATTTACAAATGGAAGAGGACCATACATTTCTGGTCTCCTGCGCTAGAGACTAATTGAAACTGGGCCAACTGCAGAGAAGCAGCTGACCAAGGAAGAGTGGTTTTTTTTGAGTAGAAATTAGAACAGCCTGTCTTGTTTAATGAAAAACTAGCAAGAAAGGAGACTAGGAGGGCTATGACTCCACAGGAGTACATAAATGCAGTAGGGAGGAAGAAAGGCTGTTTAAAATTAGAGGAATACTGAAGAAGAATAAACTAGTGCAAAGTAGTTATTGATAGTGTTAGGTTAACTTTAATATTAAAGCACATAGCAGATCTGCATGGTTTGTATTATGTTCTATTTGACTAGTAATTGGAATAAAACACACAAGAATAGAAACAGTTGTTGTTATTAGAAGGAAATCAACTCTTTGAAATATGCTGGAAGCATATTTTTGAAGCTAAAACTTGCCAATAGTCATACGGAGAAAGTGGGGGAGTAGAAATATGATGTTCCTGATTAGTCTTCCCTTCTATGTATTTGTACCAAATGTCTATGCTATTGACCACAGGAGATCAAAATTCATGACTCACATATCAGAAAACAGTAAATTTCATCCCTAAAATAATTAGGGCTTTCTTTTTTTCTAAGATTCTGTTTAGGTATGTCTTGACTTCTGTATTGTGTTCTTTTTCTCTGCTTCTGTAGCCTGCTATTGTTTCAGCTCTCTCTTACTTCCTCCTCAGAATCTGCATTCACCTACTTAATTAGGCCTATAACATATTGCTCAGAAGGAAGTGTCCAATGAATACAAATTATCATCTTTATATAGTAAGCTTTTCTAGTTTTCTTTAAATATGTTTATGAACTGCAAATACCTCAACATGTAAGAGTAATTTCCGCAAGGAAACTTAACTATGTAGCCTTCAAAAATCGCAGAAGAGCCTAGGTCTGATTTGCTTGAGCAACTCCTCGTGCAGGTTTATAATTTAAATTAAGTTATTGGGAGGCAGCTGTATGCCTTGCTCAAAAGAAGGGGAACTTGTTTTTCTGGTAGGTGTGGATGCTGTTACTGACATTAAGGCACACTAAGCATTTGAAATAAAATGTGCTGGCAAGTATCTTAGGTATTGTATCTACATTTTTCCCTAGTCTCATTCTATATTGAACAATTCTTGCAATTTATCATAAAAATTTGGAAGATTTTTTTCTGGGTAGAATTGAGCAATTGGTGGATATACCATACCGAAAAGTAACTGTCTGGATAACCAGCTGGAGAACTGAACAAAACTTCACTCTGCTGCCTGCTTTAAAAGGTACGTTTGCTTTCAGATGCTCCCTGTTCACAACACAGTTGCAAAGATGCTTTGTTGTTCATTATTTATAGCCAACAAAAGCAGAAGAAACAACAAAATAACAGGTAATAAATTAATTGCATTTTTTAATGCTGATATGTTGTTATATTTCTTTAGTAAAGACTATTTATTCTATAGGACTGAACAATATTTTGTCATAAATGCATAAGATCAAGGAGAAATGTTCAATGGGACCTACTCTATGTTATAAGAATGCTAACATATCTAAAAACCTGAGAACCTGAGAATGAGATCAGTAAATGCTCCAGATAGATAAACTTTTTGTCTAACTTTAGAATGTTTGATTAAAAAAAAAGACTTACACATTTTGAGTTGTTCTTAGTTACAATTCTCCAGCAGAAAGTTGTATGACAGTACCAGACTTTTAACCATACATTTGTTCTGGGTTCAGCTCTAAAATGTAAGTATTTTACATTTTAAGTAAGTGGACATTCTCCACTTTAGAGACACAATGGAGTCAGTACAGCCTGCTGCTGCTGTTCTACTTTGTCCCTAGCGTGGTGTAGTGAGATTTGTGGTGCCCTATGACAGTTCTGTGCTGCAAAGCAATTTCCTGGGAGCTGTCAAAGGCTGCTATAAATCATATCAGTCTTAGAAAATGGGGCATTTTAAGGGCTGTGTTGTGATTATACCTCTTCTTACTTTTATTTTGGAGGAAGAGCAATTGGGAAAAATATTGCATATCCTTCTGAAGGCTTGGGCACTCTGCCTAAACTCAGCTGAGATTCAGAAGTTAGATTGCTAATTTTGGAGAATATGTTAAAGCAGAAAACCAGGCCCCTAAATAACTTTTTAAGCCAAACAGTGAAGCTGTCAGTGAATTCAGGCACTTCCAAAGTTGTGAAGCTGCCGAGTATGATCTCTGGAACAAAACTGTGGATTTAGGTGTTTATGTGCTTCCTAGATTTGTCTCTTTCTTACTTTGCTCCTACAAATTTAAAATGATAATATTCTGTTACATCACAAAAGACTATTGAAGTAGAAGCTCTCAAAATATCTTTATACAATGTGTGAAATTAAAAAAAAAAAGATAAAAGAAAAGGAGGAAATATTAGGTCTAATTCTAATTTGAGAATAGATTAGTAACATTTTTTCCAAAACATGTTACTCAGAGATTTAGTATGTGCATAGTCTCTAAAGATACTTTAAAAAAAAGAAAAAAAAGCAAGTAAGTAACTGTGTTGGGACTTTTGAGAAGCAAGTGGAAGGATAAGAAATATGACAAACTTCCAAAATCTGCTACATTTATGATATTACTACATGCTTTCTCTATAAATTATGCACATAAAAATCAGGGTCTTTTAGCAGCACAAATTTTCTTGTCAGCAGCTATGCAGCAATGACATGTCTACAGGAAACATCTCCATCTTCTGCAATAGAATCAGTTTATTCCATTATTTATTTCCATTTTACCTCACTCTTCTTGCTGCAAGTCAGGGACACTTTCTCCTACCCAGTCCAGTGTTTCTAGTCTAAATAACAGTAATTTGATTAATCTGGGGCACTCTTCTTCTGAGAATCTGTGTGATACAAGCAGGCCTTTAAAGAGGTTTGCTGTTCCCTTACTGCTCATTATATCTGGATCCCTAAAGATGAATTTGTAAAGAAAATTTTAATCTGAGCTCCGCTTACAGAAATTACTGCTTGAGAGTGCCATGAGCTCTCTTTCAAACCTCAACACATGCCAGCATGTGATTGCTGCTGAGGGTGCTCAGGGGTGCCTGTCTGTGCTGGCAGCAGCGGGAGAGGAAGACTTCATTCTCCAGAGCCATGCCAGGGACTGCGGGCATTAAAATAATGTCAGCAGACCGAGATCGCTATTGAGAATAATATGAGGCTGCCTTCCCTACAAAGCCTGCGTTAAACAACGCTAAGTATGGTAGTGCTGATAAGTGGAACTATTTTATATTTCCATCGATTCACTTCTCTTCGGCTAAACTGTATCAAGTGACCTTTCTCTGTATGTATTGTCTCACCTATGATGAACTGCAGGTTAGGGAATTTACAAATTAGAGATAGCATCGGGACCACCATGTGTAATTGTCCCTAATTGCCATGTTTTCTATGAATTTGCTTAATCCTGTATTCATTTCAATTATATTTTTGCCCCGAACTTTTCTGTGCTAAGTCCAGTTGAGTTTCCTTTGTGTATAATTTACTTATATGTTGCACAGAGAAAACAAATGTGGTTTTGTTTTGCTTTAAAATTACTGTATAATTACTTAATTGGATGTTCTAAAATCTGGATTATAGAAAATAATGAATAATGGCTTCCTATTCCCCTGCTTATTGATGGTCATATAGACCTCTATCGTATTCTCTCACAGTACCTAAAGAACTCTCCACGTACAGAAACTGTTCCATACCTCTGGCATATAGGGAACATTCAGAGAGTCACAGAGAGTACTGTTCATTAAAGGTGTATTCTGTGACTGATTTTGCAAAAAAAGTACATTGACCAAGGTCACTGTTAGGTCAGTGCACAGTGATAGAGATTTGTCCCCCTATCTTATTTAAGAAATTATTGCGCAATTAACATAAGTCAATATTACCTAATGTTATATATTTTCTTTCTTGCAGATGCAGCAGCATAAACTGCAAGAACACAGACATTTGCATCCACATTTAGATAAATTCAGAAATTTCTGTAGTGGGAAAAAATCTTGCTTTGCTGCTGCTCTGTGCATTATTACTTTAACTTCAATGCTCACAATTTCTTATCTTAGGTTACAGAGACTTTATCTCCTGCCAAAAATAATTCAAGAAGGTAGCAAATGTAGAGGGGAGATTGCCAATAACACGATAACAGCATTAAGGGGTAACAGAACGTTTATCATTGCCCCGTACTTTGATGACAGAGAAAGCAAAGTCACCCGTGTGATTGGGATTGTTCACCATGAAGATGTAAAAGAACTTTACTGCTGGTTCTGCTGTCAGCCTCAGGGAAAGATATATGTGTCAAAATCACAAATTGAGGTTCACTCAGATAGATTTGGATTCCCTTATGGTGCAGCAGACATAGTTTGCTTGGAACCCCAAAACTGCGATCCGACGCATGTATCGGTTCATTGGTCCCCCCATGGAAATATTGACCAGCTGCCAAGGTTTGAAATTAAAAACCGCAAGGCCGAGACCTTTTCTGTTGACTTCACTGTATGCATCTCTGCCATGTTTGGAAATTACAACAATGTCTTACAGTTTATACAGAGTATGGAGATGTATAAGATTCTTGGGGTACAGAAAGTGGTGGTCTATAAGAACAGCTGCAGCCAGCTGATGGAGAAAGTCTTGAAGTTCTATGTGGAAGAAGGGACCGTAGAAATAATTCCCTGGCCAATAAATTCACACCTCAAGGTTTCTTCTAAATGGCACTTTTCTATGGATCCCAAAGATATTGGCTACTATGGCCAAATCACAGCACTAAATGACTGTGTATATCGTAACATGCAGAGGAGCAAGTTTGTGGTTCTTAATGATGCTGATGAAATAATTCTTCCCCTTAAGCACCCAGACTGGAAAACAATGATGAGCAGTCTTCAGGAACAAAACCCAGGGACTGGCATTTTCCTCTTTGAGAATCATATCTTCCCTGAAACCGTATCTACCCATATGTTCAACATTTCATCCTGGAATACCGTGCCAGGTATTAACATACTGCAGCATGTTCATAGAGAGCCTGACAGGAAAGAGGTAATCAATCCCAGAAAAATGATAATTGATCCAAGAAAAGTGATTCAGACTTCAGTCCACTCTGTCCTGCGTGGTTATGGGAAGAGTGTGAGTGTTCCTGTGGATGTTGCCCTTATTTATCACTGTCGGGTGCCCCTCCAAGGAAACCTTCCCCGAGAGTCCCTCATCAGGGATACCACACTGTGGCGATATAACTCATCATTAATCATGAATGTTAACAAAGTGCTGCATCAAACAGTACTGGAAGCTCAACAGTGAAACCTGGGTTATAAGGCGGGAAAGTGGAGAGCTGCCCACATCCTCAGGGAGCAGAGGATATCACTTAAAAGTTCACACTGGAAATGCTTCCAGATGAAGATTTTTGTAAAGCTTTGGGGGAAACATTCCTTTTACGTACTGTATAAAGGTAAATGCATTTTATCTGTGACCTGAAATACGGTACCTTGTAATTATCCAGAGTGATCAAGCTCTATTACAGACTTGATTTCCTTAGATAAAGTCTGTTGTGCAGCTGAGATGTGAGAGCTGAGGCACAATGATAAGATAATTTCTTCTTTAACTGCCTGTAAGTATGAAAGGGCATTATTCAAGGCATAGGAACTGATCATACTGAAATAAGATTAAGTACTGATTTTCTGCTTTCTCTCTTTTTCTTTTCCCACCTTCATATATGTTGTGCCTAGTACAACAACCCTGTAAACTGCCTGAAGAAGGAACAGATGAGTTTTTGTTATCTGTATCTCTAAAGTACCAGGTGGAGGGGGAAAAAAAAAAAAAAACACACAGCTGCATTAAGTGGCTGCTAAAAAAAATACAGCTGTGTTTAGTAGTGACTGTTGGACATGGCTTGGAACAGCATCTTCCAGATGAAGACCCATATTGGCATTTATACTGCAGCTTGTTAGAATGACAGAGAGAATAGGAAAATACACCAACTGCAGCACTAGATCTATCACTTTTTTGGAAGTACTTCTTCCTAAGGGAAATTGGAATTTGTAGCAAAGCTGTGAGTCATTCAGCAAGGATTTCTGTAGGTGGTATTACCTCTTCTGGCAATTTTAAAATGAGTGTTTTCAATAAACAATTACTAGTATGAGTCAGATGATTTAAATCATGCTAAAAAAAAAGCTGTAAGCATTTTTCAGGCTATGTATAGAATTAGAACTACAGTCATTAGTATTAAAAATAGCATTCCTGAATTATTGTAGTTTTTAATGTTATGACTTGGGTACAAAATTCTTATGCATCAAAGTTGTGTAAAAGATAAACTAATGCATTGTGAAAAATCACTGAGTATACCTTTTTCTGTAATAATAATAATAAATTATATTCTTGGGAACAGGGTTTGTTAAAGTGGTGACTTATTGTAGCACTAAAAATAGCTGTTGGAGTTTTGCCAATTGAGACAACTGCATGGGTCTGTGAGATCTGTAACTTTAAGAAGAAGGCTGGTACCCTTTCTTGCTACCTACAGCTGTTCTGAATTCCTTAACAGGAAAGTGCTACTTTGAGTTGGAAATCTATAAAATAGAGGTAAGGGATACATGCTGATGTTGTGAACTGAAGGAAGACTATTTCCACATGGGAAGACAGCAAGGAATGATGACTACTTATGATACAAGAAGTGGTGTTGTGTTTTGTTTTGTTTTTTTCCCCCCCTTCTCCCAGACCTTGAAGACTCATAGCAACCTGTTTCTTCATTCACCAAAATCAGACACCAGGTAAATTTTAATGCTTTATATGGCTGGTAAGCTGTATGGTGTTGCTTCATTACGTGGGTGTAAAGTTACAGATCTTTCTTTCCCAACCCCTACGTAAATAAGCAATGTAATTATTCATTTCTAATCTAAAGATCAGATGGAAAGAAAAAACAAGCAAAAAAATACACTCATTGTAATTTCTCACTTTTAGTCATGTTTGCTAAGCCCCACAAGGAAACCTGTGTATGTATGTGTTTGGGCAGGGGGAGAGGGAGTGAGATTACATGTGAACATTCTTTTATTTAACTTCTAGTCTGTCATGTTTTTCATTGCCTCTTCTGTTTTGTGTCGGCACATGCTTATGTCCTTATGAAGCTCTCTCACTAGTAGATTAGTATCATTAGTTAGCACATGTCCATGTGGAACTTCTCTTTGGCAGTCTTCAGGAAACAGTCTGCAAGTAACTTTGTAATCATGTCTGCAATAATCATCAACCTTGTTTTATAAAACTGAAAGGGTAGAACAGTGGTATAGTGTGTATCAGAGGCCTCTTATCCTGCTTTTCTGCTTTCATGCTCTGCCACAACAGAGAAAAGGAGAATTTAGGGATCTTAAATTGTTCAAAAATTTCTGAAACTTGTGAAATTCTTGTAGCAGAATCTCTTTTCCGCTAGTACGTCACAGCTTTACCAAGCTGTAACAGCTGCTTCACAGTGGCAGCATCTGCCAAGGTATAGATTAGGAAACTCTGGAAGCCGTAGTAATGTCAAAGGCACCTGCTGCAATGGAAGGAATTTGCTTGCTGAGGGGTCCATTTAGAATTATAGGCCTATACAGTTTAGAAGGAGTATCTGGAGGTCTGCAGTGCAACTCCCCACTCAAAGCGGCATAAGGCAGGATGGTCTTTGTCCAGATAAGCTGGACACACAACCTAACAGTGGAACAGGTTGCCCAGATAAACTACCTCAGTGGAAATTTCTCTTCATTAGAGCTCGCTGGAATTTCTCATTGCAATTTGTGACCATTGGCCCTTGTCCTTCTGCTGCAAGACTCTGAGAGGAGTCTGACTTCGTCTTCTCTCTGTCCTCTTATCAGGTAGCTGGAGACTGCAGTAAGATAACTCCCCCTCCCTGCCATTCTCTCCTGAAGGCTGGACAAACCCAGCCTTCTCACACCTTCTCCTTAGGCACTGCGTACTTCAGCCCCTTCTCCACCTCTGTGGCCTTTCACTGGACTTCTTCCAGTATGTTAATGTCTGTTTTGTACTGGGGAGCTTAAAATCAGACATAGCTGCAGATGTGATCTCAAGTGCTGAGCAGAGAGGAAGAATCCCTTCCTGACCTGCTGGCCATGCACTTGCTAGTACAGCTCAGTGTGCAGATGTCTGTCTCTGTCACAAGTCCTGTTGAATTTGTGCACCAGAATGCCTAGATCCTTTCCGGTAAAGCTGTTCAGTCTGTCCAGTTGTGTGGCATGGTTGTATCTCAAGTGCAGGACTTTGCATTTGCTTTGTTTAAACTTCATGAAGTTCTGTCAGCCCATTTCTCCTGTTTGTTGAGGTCCCTCAGAATAGCATCCCTACTCTTCAGTAAATTGATGGCTTTCCCTTCCCACGGTGCCCCCTCTCCCAGCCAATTTCATATTGTCCAGAAACTTGCTGAGAGTGCACCCTGTTGCATCATCCAGGTCACTAATAAAGAGGTTAAACAATATTGGCCCCAGTACTAGCTTTTGAGGACCACCACCTGTAACTGGTTGCCAGCTGGATTTTCTACCACTGATCACCACTATGAGCCTGGCAGTACAGTCAATTGTCCACTTGTCTTACAGTCCACATATCTAATCCATATTTAATCAATTTGGTTATAAGGACATTTCTGACATGTTCCTGTCTAAATTCCTGCTATGAAGGATTCTTAACTAAACTTTCAAAGCTAATATAATGTTTTATGGATAGCCCATGTTAATGTAGCTCCTTTAAAGTAATCTGATTTACTGCACACATTATGCACAGTGTGGTTATGCCCATGTTAACAGTGCTGAGAGCTGGATTTTGAGAAGTTATTGAAAGCCTTTTGTTTCATGTGTATTTTCTTCACTTATGAGTGATACAGTAAAAGTTCGAAGAGATCATCACCTGTGCCCATGTCAGCATGGTTTGAAGCAAAAGCTGTGAATTCAGCTTCTAATTGATTAAAATCCTTGACTACAGGCACTTTCTCAAAATAAGTTTGTGTGCATACTGGTGGAAAACTCAATATTTAAGACACTAGCCTTGCATTCAAGGGACACTGCTCCCCTGTGACTTCATGCACTTCCTGTCACATCACTCAAGTACAGACTCTTGCACACAGAAACTCCTCTCCCATGTCTGCAATTTATACCGTGTACCTTTGGGAACCTGGGCTTTCACTCAGTAGTACTTAAGAAACTAGGTCTCCACCGATGATCCTGTGACAATAAAAATCATATAAACGGTATCTACGATAGGCAGTTTTATCTTTTCAGGTACCTGAGTCAATCTTCAGGCAAACTTATGTTTTACAGTTGTGTAAAAATAGACACTAAGGGGAGACTTTATTGTCAGAAAACCCCAACACACTTCTAAAGCATGGGAGTTGAGATGTCACAGATACAGCTTTTCGGTACAGGTCAAATTCGACAGAAGTATGTGGATAAATATTTGCTTCTCAGTGGTTAACTCATCTTTACATGAGCTTTCCTACAGCTGATCAAAGCCAAAAACCTTTTTCTACGCCTTTTCTTTTCTTCTTCAGAACTCTGAGTCTCAGAGACGTGGCAGTCACCCTGTTTTTTGTCCCTGCTTTCCAATCTAAATTTAACAACTTTAAGCGCATCATTATATTAACTGCATTCTTTGGAAAAAGTGAATGGCTACTAGACTGCATTTAATGTAAAAGATCAAGTCTTACTGTAGGGATTGATCATCTTTCCTTTCATTATAATTCCACCTACTGATGAACTAAGCTACGTTCTGTAGGAAACATGGACTATGAAATACTGATCAAAGCACTTTGAGTGAGATATTGAAAACTCTGTAGAAAGAGTATTTCATGAGATGACCAAGACATGGTCCAAACTGTTCCTTTAGTATTTGTGCCACTGAACAGCTACCAGAGTAGCACAATGAATTTATCAGTGGGGTTAATGAGTTGTTTCTGTCCCAATTGCACCATCAGGAAATATGGTAACAGGTTCTCTAAGGTTAGTTGCCATGGCAAGCTTTATCAGGTACCTGAAAAGTTGGCTCATTCTGGCTGAGAAAAGCTTGCATCAACGTACTTCTGAGCTTAAACAAATTATTACTGTTAGCATCTGATCCTAGTTAAAGGATTCAATTGAGTCCTCAATTTCAAAGGCTAAGCATTTAAAGCTATCATAAAGGGAAAAAAAAAAAAAGTCCTGAAGAGATTGATACTGGGGGGAGAGAGAGAGAGAGCGAGAGTGCGCAGGTCTGCTCTGTTCTCATTTGAGGTCAACAGCTGTGCACTGTAACCAGTACTTGCTGTTATGTGTACAAAAGCCTATTGTTCTAAAATAGTAGCTTCACCTTCTGTTCCAACAACAAAAAATAGGGCAGAAGTCAGGTCAAATACTACTTCATTTTAGACTTAATGGTGGATTTGAATGGTTTAAACTTTACAAACTATGCTTCAGAGCCCAATAAGTATGCTTAAACATGAGTACAGACAAAATTTAGTGGTGAATATTGTTAGCATGCTGTGTTGCATTATGTCAAAAACAACCCATCCCCAAATGCCCAAATAAAAGTAAGTGATTGTGCATTGCATGATGATACCATTAGGTGCGCAACTTTGGTTCATGCAAAGTCTTATTTTATGGACACACTGCTGATAGTCCATATATTCCTGAAGATTCTGCCATGTGTGATCTTTTCAGCCATGTTCTTTCCATAACACCAAATGGATACTGTGGTCTGGCATACTGGTGGCAAAAACCAAGCCCATATCATTTTGGCCGTTTAGTCCATTTAACCAAGACATTTCACCAGCCAAAAAGCTTGAACCTCTCTTTGACTTTCTATACTCTGGTAGAGGCCAGCGGCTTATCAGTTTTTCTGTCCTCAAGTCCATTATATACAGGTATCTGTTATCAAACAGTAGAGCAAATATCTCTCCAAAGCCCAGCAAGGACACGTTTGAGAAGTCAGGAGGTTTGATGACCCTAGAAGACAAGAAAATATCATTAGAAACTGTGTCACTATGTAGTTGTGAACCTGCTTTACTATAAATAAATTCTTATGTGTGTCTATAGAGAATAAGTGTCTAAACTCATCATTTCCAAATTATTTAGAAAAAACTTGATGCAAATTTTTCAAATTACTTCAAACAACCGAACATTTATCTTGAGTCAGACTCGAGGTTTCAATTCTGACTTTGTGCATTCAGGACAGACTCTTCTAAATATAAGTAGAGGTTAAGGCTTGAAAAGGATTCTGTATAGTTCAAGGGGGGGGGAAAAAAAAAAGAAGTCTGTTTCCAGATATGCATGAAAGAGCAAATGTACTTGTGTTTTACAGTAAATTATCATAGGGATTTGAAGCCTAAATGTCTTTAAACTAAGAGGAACAACCTCTTATTATTCTTTTGACTGCTCTTTTAAAAGCTGGAAATAAAACACAGAAATGCCCCCTTATGATGGTAAGATAGCTCATTCAGGATTGAGTCTTAACGGCATGCTGTGTTAGTGACACTTAGCCTAGGCTAACCATTTTCATCTTGGGGAGAAATAACAGTATTTGTTAGTTCCAGTATGTCTTTGGGGTTTTTTTGCCTTACTAAATAAAACTTGAACAAAAACTGGAGAGAATAAGTTTCCCACAACTGACCAGAGCATTTGATTATAGCATTACATGAAGTACAGAACTGGGGTATGAACATGTACTGAGATGCAAGTCCGTTCTCAGCAGCACAGGCTGCTGTATGCCCTTTTGAAAGATGGGAGGACAGACTAAGAGGTAAAATCATTGAATTATTCTTAGTGAGAAGCAGCACTTGTTCTGGAGTAAATCATCTTACGGTAGGGCACTCTACAAATATTCAGGCCTTTTAACAGTTCTATAATGCAACTTTTTCTTTAAAAAGTTGCTGTTTTTGATGCCACCATTTCTAACAGAAAAAGCCTCATTCTAAGTGTTTAATGAAACAGAATGCCATCTTGTTTGATTCTTCTCTACAGTCTGACAGATTTCACTGTCATTCTGTAGAGTTATCAAGAACAACAGATCTCAGTTCAGCAGTGCTCTAAGGAAAAACAGTCTTTTTAATTTCTTGTCTCACCAAATGCCTCTCTAAATTGGCCATGCAGACTGCTATGGCAGCACTAACTCCTAGTCGCTACTGTCTCATGTTCACAACTGCAGCTGGTAGACTTTAGTCTATGTTGAAACTCTTCAGCTTATGTATTGAAAACACAAAACATGATTGCTATTTTGGTTTTTGGCCCCAAGCCAGTCAAATCAATAGGTGAAATGTATAGAGTTTAAGTTAGAAGAAAACCTGGCAATTTGCGTAAAGTAAGAGGTTTACAGAACTTCTGGAATTTGTATCAAGATTCTTTTGGCCTACATCTAAAATAAGTTATTAAAACTAAAAGTAATATGTTCTACTTCTTACTTAAAGAAGACCTAGAGAATAAGTTTACACACCTTAGTCTTAAACTGAAAGATTTACCTGAGAATATCATAGCTGGCAAAGTCCCACTGGTACAATCCTAGAGCTGAACTGCACACTATGTATTTACCATCAAAGTGCAGTCTGGGCTGCAAGGAGATGCTGCGATCTTCAGAAACAGATAACGTTTTTAAACACTTGCAGTTTATTTCCCTTCCAATAGGCCAAATCTACAATTAAAAGACAGTTTAAGACTGTAAAATATTCAAGTTATAAGCCATTACAAAAATAGAGCAAGGGTCACAGTCTCTTTTTAAGCAGCCAGTAAATGTGCATATGATCTTCAGAAATATTTTTCTTCTTTAGGTGGGAACTCCAATTCCATAATGTCCTGTCTAATAGTACAGTTTCAGTATGTTTTGTTTCTACCCTGAAAAATCCCAGTGAAAGCTGATTGCCTGGTTGTTATTAAAAATATCAAAAAATCCCATCATCCAATTGGACAGAGAAGGAATGATGTTTCAGTTACGAAACACTTGTAGCCCCAATGAATTTGCAGCATCCTTCAATCCAAAAGACCCCAACAACAGCGATATTTGTAGCAAGTGCTTCACTTTGAAGTTAGCACATCAGGCAAGCACTAAAAGCACTATTTTTTTGCATTACCATTCCCCTGGACCTACCACTCAAAGCACACCCGGCTATTTGGTACCTATATTTAAATCTAAACATAAAGAAAAGCATTAAAAAGTTTGCTTTCATAGAGTTACCTGTCCTATACACAACTTTACAAGCAGGGAATATGGGAGAGAATAAAGCAATATATTATCTGTAAACTTCAGAGAAGTGCTCAAGCATTCCATTTCCCTGGATACTGCAATGTATATTATATATGGTACATACCTTGATTTCATACTTATCTGCACTTAGAAGAATATAATCCCCAGGACTATGCATAAGAGATTTGACTTTGCACTTCTGCAAAACTACCTGTAATTGAAGGAATATATTAAGGATGAAATTACTTATTTTGATGCTGTTAATTACCCGAACTTTCATTTGCATTTTCTAATTCATTGACAATCTGAGTACTGTACTCTTCTATGAAGGCAACACAGATATTTTTAACAACTGAAGGGAAACTAGAATCTACACTCTTCCTGTTTCTACTAGTTGCAACTTACTATATTAATTAGCTAACATATTATACACTTCCCCTCTAGAATTCTCCTCCCTATCACCGTCCAAGTTCTGGAATACTCAGATGAAAAATACTGTTTCCTGACTTGCAAACACTCTTCATGCTTAGATTTTGGTTATCAAAATCATTTGGTTATTCTATTTAAAGCTTCTTTCTCTCAGAAGCACAATATTCATTCATTCTTTGAATCAAACACTGACGTGTAGTATTATTCCAGCTGCTTTGGAAGAGAAATCTCTTCAATGGTCTGAAAGGTTTTATTACAGCTGCCTTAAGTATCTCTTCTGCTGAAATGTTGTTGTGCAGTATTTGCGTTTCCTGAGGTTCTTCAGGTTCTACACCCAGGTGCAGGATTAGGGTTAGGAAACAGAAATACAAAATACATGTAGCAAACTTCTTGCAAACAGGTGTTTTGCAAGATTAATTACAAATCAATATTCCCACCTTGGTGACCCATTCTGTGTGTCCAGTAAGGGTATTCAGGCACGTTCCTGTTGATAAGGCCCATACTTTCACAGTGAAGTCTGCAGAGCCACTGACCAGAATATCAAGTTCATCGTTGTAATCCACACTAAAAACTACAAGCAAAGAGGGTTCTAAATGAGAAATACCAGTCTCTATGCATGTGTTTTTCTGTAAGCGAGGCACCAATTAGGTCAAGTAACCTCAAAATTCATACACTTTATACATACTTCATGCACTACTACGGCTTTAACTGTTGTTCTTAAATTGTACACTTGAATTGTTACTCTGGACTCCTAAGGTTACATTGCAAAATTACTGATTCATGTGCAAATTACAAATATGTAAATCGGTGGTTCCAGTTTGGTTGCAAAGCACAACTTAAATAAGCTAGCTTATATTGCAGGAGTTCAAATAAGTCAATTCCCGCAGGATTAGTATATTTGTTATATCTCCTTACTCCAAAGAGAGAAACCTACAGCTGAGTTGCAGATATTTTGCAGTAGAGGAGGGAGAACTTCATTATGAGAGAAATGCAAATATATTCTCAGGT